TGGAGGCCAGCTTGGGCTACATAAAGAGTTCCAGAGTTGTCTAGGCTATAAAATCATATCCTGTCTCAAAATAACCCATGTGTGTTTATGTGTACATATCTGTATATGTATCATAAGCGTAGATGGTAGGAATTTATATTATCAAGAAGTTTGGAAGTATTGCTATAAAACATTAACTACCCATATTAATGATAAACTGGATTCTTATTTGAAGCTTGGGTAATGTAGTTAATTCTATGGTCCATATAGCTGAAAATCTCGTTATATCAAATTTTGTTGAAAATATTTAAAATATTAATTTACTTGCCTCTTAAAGAAATTTTGATGAATTCAGTAGAGTTTATTCACTGATAATTGAAAATCTTAAACTATCCAGAAAGGATTGAGGGAGAGGAAGGGAAGGGAATGGAGGAAGAGGGAGGAGAGTTCACAACCATCTAGTAGTAAATTTTTTTCTTTATCTAATAGCAATTTTTAATGTGTTCTCATACCTAAGGAAACACTAAAAAGATCATATGCTGCAGATATTTTATATCTGCTCAGTTAATATCAGTAAAGCAAACTTGTTCCCTGTTATTTCAGTACAAAATTGGGAAAGATCATATTCCTAAATAGCTAAATATCCACAGCTAATATACTTAGGGAAATTTTAATATTTCCTTTCCTTGGCAGCTAGTTGAGGGCTCTTCTGGGAAGAAATGAAACAAAACAAAAAAATTTATCAAAGATTGTTTTTAATATTTTATCATTTTTATTTTATGTGTATGCATATAAGTGCACCTGTGTTGTGCAATGCCCACAGAGGTCAGAAGAGGGCACCATATCCCCTGGAACTGGAATTACAAATGGTTGTTAGCCACCATGTAGGTGCTGGGAACTGAACCCAAGTCCTCTGCAAGAGGAGCCAGTGCTCTTAACCACTGAGCCACCTCTCCAGCCCAAAAGCTGTTAAAGATTTTTAAAAAGATATCTAAGGTATTCGTAATACATGTTCCATTATATCCCTTCCTGATAAATATTCTAAAAAGTTTAGAAATGGACACAGAAGCAAGTAAGCTGGGCTTGGTCACACACCTATCTCAGCACTCAGAAGCCTGAAGCAGGAGAATAGCGAGTTTAAGGCCAGCTTGAACAAAGTAGTAAGACCCTGTCTCAAAACAAAAGGAAGTCAGAGGGAAAGATACATGCAGAATATCTGGCAAAACTTATATCAGAAATAAGGCCAGGACCTGAGATTAAAATGAAATTTCAAACTTAATATTAAAACCCATTTAGGAGGAAAATTTGGTATACAGAGTAAATACTTAGGCAACCAAGTCTGTAATGAGTTGTGGCTACCTTACCCTCAATTTAAAGTTCAGTGATGTTAAATATGGTTGAAGCTATTAGTGTAAATGGTATTTAAAGATTGACTAGCTATGTGTGATTCAGGCCATTTGTATTTTGGAAGTTGCATGTTCTTTGGTGGTTATGCAGAAAATAGTTGTCATTCAAATCCTCCTATGTATCTAGCCCCATGCTAGATACTACTTCACAATAATTACTGGAATCCATTTTAGTGTTGAGTAAAGTAAAACAAACAAACCACATGGGCTAAGGTTATTTGCATTAAATCCTAAACTTGGGCTTTTATTTTGTTGTTTTTGGGGGGAGGGGGTGTTGTTGTTTGAGACAGGGTCTCCATATAGCCCCAGCTGGCCTGGAACTTGTTATGTAGACCAGGCCTCTCTCAGAGATCCACCTGCCTCTGCCTCCTGATTGTACCACTCCTGGCTCCAATTCCTAAATTTGTAAATGGCAAAGTCAGAAGCATGTCTGAATCTGACACTAAGCCGAATTCTTTTCTTTGTTTGTGCTGTCTTCCTGTTTACTATCTCACCTAAACAATCAAGCACCAGAATTTTAGTTAACTGAGGAGCCATACCGTGTTTTTTTTTAATACTTTATTATTATTTTTATTTTATGTGTATGAGTGTATTGCCTGCATGTATGTGAGTGCACCCATGTCGTGCAATACCGCGGAGGTCAGAAGAGGGCTTCGGATTCCCCGGGAACTGGAGTTAAGGACGGTTCATAGCTGCCATGTGGGTGCTGGGAATCGAACCCGGGTCCTCTGCAAGAGCAGTCAGTGCTCTTAACTGCTGAGCCATCTCTCTAGCCCCAAGCCACACTATGTTCTAATTAATTGAAGTTTTAAGGATTAGGGCATTTATAGCTCAAAGTAGACTGCTTGCCTAACATCTTTAAGGTCTTAGATTGGATTTGCATCACTGAAAAAAAGGAAATTTTTCTGAATCAAATAATTACCTTTTTCTCATTTGAAAGAATAGCACTTAGTGGATTATAATATACTTAATTATATTCCATACATCATCATCTAAAATAATCTAACTTCAAAACTTAGAGTATTATGCTTTCCTTATATTAAATTGTTTCCCAAATTTCAAAATTTTTACACGTTTAATTGCAGTCGTACAGATTTATACAGCATAATTAACCAAAAGATTGTTGATGTTTCTATAATCCACATTAAATATCTTAAAATTCCCATGTTAGCTTGATTTTCTAGTTGTTTCTTGTTTAGGGATCTGATCAATAAGAAAATTTCTCTTACTTAATCTCCATTATAAAATTAAGTCTTAATTCCTACCAGAGTAAAAGCATAAATTGTGATACGTGTTTGAGAACATAGCTAAGATTGAAAGTCTGTCCTTTAAAGAAGAGGTATGGCAGTTGATCACATGTCAATATTAGCCTCATTTAAATGAGCTTCAAATAGAAGATCAATCAGCTGGTATTTACATCCTGGATGATTTTATTGCAAAGCATAGTATAAAATTCAATCAAGAGTAGAAAAATAAGAATGTGACACAACAGCCTTTACACTTATTCTGCTACTGAAGAATAATATATAAAAGGAACTTGGGAAATAAGGAGAAATCATGTTGGAAATTCAAGTAGAAGTCAGATTGTTCCAGGCTGTTCTATGTATTTGATAGTCACTAGTCCTGCATGGCTAGTGTAACTGAGGAAGAGAATTCTACATCCTGTCTAATTTCAAATGACTATTTGTAGGCTGATGGCTACTATATTGAGCAGTGCAGCTCTGTAAAATAGCTGATAGGTGCTTCCCAACATATGAGGAGATCCTGGAATAAATGAGCAAGTTATAGAAATGGATAAATAGATAAGTAAAATAAAATGGAATATATTGTCTTTCTTCTCTGGCCCTTTATCAGCTCATGTTAATAACGTATTTTATAATGCCACCTTTCTATTGAAGCTGTATTTTCCTAAATATATTGTTAAAAATATACAAACAGAATTGTTAATATAATTTTAGAAGTGGCTATAGCAAAATTTTACTTATGTCCATCCAAGAAAATATCAGTTTCCCTTAAAGATATGTTTTCATACTTTATTATTTCATTAAATACTGAGTTCTCTATGTATTATATTTGGCAAACATGACAGTGGTGTAGCTGAAACTGCCAAATGAGGAAGGAATGTGGCTTCTTGGGTATAGGTCTTGATTGTTTCAATTAAGTTTATATCCTTGTTTCAGTACTTGGGCAGATTTATCATACTGTAGATTTATAACAAACGTGTTACCTTCCTTAGTTGATACTGGATATCCAAGATCATAAAACAGCATATCTTCTCTTTATTTAAAGTAATATGCATCTCTTTTTTTTTTTTTTTTTTTTTTTTTGAGCTAGGGTCTCCCTGTAGTCCCCAACTGGCCTGGAACTCGCTGTGTAGACCAGGTTAGCCTCACAAAGATCCACCTACCTCTACCTCCTGGTGCTAGGATTAAAGCTGTGTGTCACCATGCCCAACTCAGTAATATGCGTATTGAAGAAAATATTAATTGATCTTTTTAAGTTAAGTTTCTTTTACATGTTATTTAAAATATAACTGAGCCAGGCATAGTGGTATAGGCACATTGTAATCTTTGCACACAGGAGGCCAAAGCAAGAGGATGATAAGTCTGAGGCCAACCTGAACTACATGACACGTTCCAGGCTAGCCTGAGCTACATATAGACTTGGTCTCAAAAAAAAGGAAAATGTCTTTTTAAAAAATAGTAGTAACATTTCTTACAGGCTAAATTTTAACAGTCATTTGTGATAGTAAATCTTGTGTTTCAATGAGTATGATAGATTGCTCAATCTATTAAATCTCAAACTAGAATTCCATGGTATTACTAAAACATCAATGACATTTTAATACTCCATAGTCTGGAATAGTCCTTAAATATTTACTAAGCACTTTCCTTAGTAGTTAGAATTACCACCTATTGATAAAGCTTTAAGACAGAAGTAAATGATGTTATTAAGTGATTTAACTGCCTTAACTTAGAGTTTGTTCTTTATTAGTAGTAAATCATTGGTTTTATCTTAATTTGCCTATTAAAATTCAAACATTATAACATTAAAAATAATGCATATATGTCTGATAACTTGTCAAACAGGAACTTAGTGATTCACTTTCCTCAGTAAACAAAGAACTCTGCAGACCACTGAGAGGGTGAATTTTATGATATATTGATTATATCTCAATAGAGTTGTTACTTTAAAAATCAGCCAGCAAAAGAGAATAAAATAAAACTTGTTAAAGATAACACTGAAAAAAAAAGGAAGAAAGTACTTCATGGTATTAGGAATGCAGACAATAAATTTGCATAGGTGTTCCATTATAGGAAAGATTTGATATTCTCCTAGTTTGGGGTTTTATCATGGACCTAATTTATGTCAGGAGGCACACATTCAAGTAGGACTGAGTTAAAGCCTATCATCAAGTGGTATATTTCAACTAGAATTTGCCCCCCTCCTCAGATCTCTGAACTATTTGTCTGAGTTATTCTTTGAGTCAGAGCAGGCAGCAGCTGGGAGGGCATTTTCAATGAGGTTCTTGGTAGAAATAAGACCTGGTAACTCTCCTTTGCCCAACATTCAAGTTTCAGAATTTTAACTAGGTTTCTCTTTTGTTTGAAACAGTGATGACTCGTGGCACTGCCTCCAGCCCATCCTATAGATTCATATTGAATGATGGGACAATGCTTAGCGCCCACACCAAGTGTAAACTTTGCTACCCTCAAAGTCCAGACATGCAACCTTTCATCATGGGAATTCATATCATCGACAGGTACTACTTATTTGGAGAGAAATTCTAAGTTAGGCATAAGATAGTATGATGAGTATTTCCATAATTAATATTAGTTATCCATCAGTATATCCATATTGGGTTTTAGACTTTTGTTACCAAATAGCTTTGTTTTTATAAAGGGAGACAGGAAAGGTGAGACTGAAAAATCTGTTTTTGTAGGGGATGAAAACAAAATGACACCAAAAAATTTACAGCATTCCATATATGAACTTACATTTTTAGAAGAGATTTCAGAGTTAATAACGTTATTTATATTTTTAAAGGTACTTAATTTTATTAGGACAAATTTTATGACTCTTGAGTTCAAGCCGACAGTTTATCATAGACGTCTTATTCATTAAACTATCAACTTGAGATCTTTCAATGTTGTTACTTCTAATTTGTTCCCCTCTCTAAGTAAGTTTTATACTGATACACATAGTGAATTCATGAAATTATTCTTTTGTGTTACAATTTAGTAAAAGCTGTACATTTATAACTATTTAAAATTTAGCATTAAAAAACGGACATTTCCCCTCACTTCATCTTTTCTTCATCTGATGTTTTGCTTATTGAAACATGGTAATGCCAGTCACAAATCTGTTATCATAATTATGAATTTGAGTGAAGAGTGCAGTTAAAACCTGGATTGAGTATTCTTTTTTTTTCTAGTTTTAGTTGAAATTTTTCTTGTGAGTGGAATTAGCACAGTTTTTTTTTTCATATTGTGGTTTCTCTTTCAAAACATCTGCTACCTCTGCATATCACCCTTTTTAATTTTCACATCAGTGACACAGTATTTTTCTTACCCAGTCTTCCTCTTTGGAGTTGAAATACTTAAAAGCTGTAACAGGGGAATCATGAATAAAATGCTTTCTAAACAAAGGTGTGGGAAATTTCTCTTTCAAACAAAACTATTATTGTAATATTAAATATTTGTGTGAATTTTATAAAAGTTTAATAGTTTGTCTATTGCGTTTTTCCCAACACCAAGAAAGATTTCTTTTCATATAATTGGAACGATTATCACATTTAAGAGTCCATAAGCACTATTCCTAGGAAATACTGCTGACATTTCACAGTAGTAATGGCAGTCCACTGGTTTTCCTTAATTTAGGGTGATACAGAAACTTTGTATTTTATTGGAACGTTAATGGAGCTAATGGTCTTTCTTATAATATCTTCATGAAAAATATTATAATAGAAACAAATGAAGATGATTGAATAATGTATTTTTCTCCCCTAGGGAGCACAGTGGGCTTTCTCCTCAAGATGACACTAATTCTGGTATGTCAATTCCCCGAATAAACCCCTCCGTCAATCCTAGTATCTCTCCAGCTCTTGGTGTGGCCCGTTCATCCACATTGCCACCATCCAACAACAGCATGGTCTCTGCCAGAGTAAACCGCCAACAGAGCTCAGATCTTAACAGCAGCAGCAGTCATGGTAATTCAAACAACCACCAAGGGAGTTTTGGATGCTCACCTGGAAATCAGATTGTAGCCAATGTTGCCTTAAACCAGGGACAGGCAGGTTCTCAGAGCAGTAATCCCTCTTTAAACCTCAACAGTTCTCCTATGGAAGGTACAGGAATTTCCCTTGCACAGTTCATGTCTCCAAGGAGACAGGTTACCTCTGGCTTGGCAACAAGGGCCAGAATGCCAAACAATTCATTTCCTCCAAATATTCCAACATTAAGCTCCCCAGTTGGCATTACAAGTGGTGCCTGTAATAATAATAATCGATCCTATTCAAATATCCCAGTAACATCTTTACAAGGTATGAATGAAGGACCCAATAACTCTGTTGGCTTCTCTGCCAGTTCTCCAGTCCTCAGGCAGATGAGTTCACAGAATTCACCTAGCAGATTAAGTATGCAACCAGCAAAAGCTGAGTCCAAAGATAACAAAGAGATTGCATCCATTTTAAATGAAATGATTCAATCGGACAACAGCGCTAGTGATGGTAAACCTCTGGATTCAGGACTTATGCATAACAACGACAGACTTTCAGATGGAGACAGTAAATACTCTCAAACTAGTCACAAACTAGTGCAGCTATTGACAACAACTGCAGAACAGCAGTTACGGCATGCCGATATAGACACAAGCTGCAAGGATGTACTGTCTTGCACAGGCACTTCCAGCTCTGCTTCTTCTAACTCTTCAGGAGGTACTTGCCCCTCCTCTCATAGCTCTCTGACTGAGCGGCACAAAATTCTGCACCGGCTTTTACAGGAGGGTAGCCCCTCAGATATCACCACTTTGTCTGTGGAACCTGACAAAAAGGACAGTGCATCAACTTCCACTTCTGTGTCAGTGACTGGACAAACCCAAGGGAACTCTAGTGTAAAACTAGAACTGGATGCTTCAAAGAAAAAGGACTCAAAAGACCATCAGCTCCTACGTTATCTTTTAGACAAAGATGAGAAAGATTTAAGATCAACTCCAAACCTGAGCCTGGATGATGTAAAGGTAAAAGTGGAAAAAAAAGAACAGATGGATCCTTGTAATACAAACCCAACTCCAATAACCAAACCTGCTCCTGAGGAAGTTAAGCTGGAGTCCCAGAGTCAGGTAGGTGATTTCTTGCTTCATAGATTGATCTTTTCCTTTTTCTACTCCCACCATAGACCAGATTTGGATGCATACTATATTGTCCTTTTAGCACATACTAAGAGGCTTGTTTCAGTGGTTGAAAAATCATGGAAAATCCTCAGACATTCCTTTTAGATCTTTACATGCTACAATATTAATGTGGCATTTTAAAAACTTACCTTTCTTTATTTCTTTTTGTTCCTATACAATTAGAGTTCAAAAGTTAAGATTTTTTATTTTGGATAGGATCACACTGTGTAGCCCTTGCTGACCTGGAACTCTACATAGACCAGGCCGGCCTCAAATTCACAGAGATCCACTTGCTCTGCATCCCGAGTTCTGGGATTAAAATTTTGTCCCACAATGCCCAGCATCCTAGGACCTTTTTAAATATACCTTTTCTGCCCCTTCCTCCCAGCCTCACATATTAAATCCAACTCTGGGATAGAACCTATGACCAGTTGCGTTTTTAAAAAGTTCTCCAAAACACTCTAGTATATAGCTAAGTTTGGGACCCTCTGATGTATACAAAGTCAGAGAGAAATGTGAGGAGATAGATATGGCTCCCTGTTGAAGGAAAGCATTTTATAAGGGTGCTTTCATTCACATCTACTTCTAACCATCCTCAAGAGAAGAAAGGGACTTGGATATTCTGGGTGGCAGATTATTGCCCTTATGCAGCATGCCCTGAAACAGAAGTAAATAAAAAGAAGCCTATTTGTAAGTATTGGAAACATCTATGTTTAGCATGGAGTGGAGCTGGTATGAAAATTAACAAGCATATTCATTTATTGAATCATTGTTTATAAACCATCAAAGAATATCAAACAAAGATGGTCACTCCCCCTTTAAGAACTTTTCATATTAGAGATAGAATAGAACTTCACAAAATGAATGATATTGCATTCAAATGCAGTTTATTAAGAAGATTCATACTTATGCCTAGATCCTTAAATTTTGTGAAACAGCTTGATTTTTTTGCCCTTAACATTTCTAGAGTGTCTTTCTTCCTTCAGGCATCATACATTCTAGGCACAAAAAGTCCCTTTCCTTCCTGAACTAAGCCACATCCCTCTCCCTATTTTGATTGTTTCTTTACATGTGTACTCTTTGAAGATAAGGTTGTGTCTTGTGTTTTTGATAAAGCAAAGCTAACAGTTTTTTTAACATCAGGGTTTTTTATATCAGTTTTTTAAAGCAGAAAAACAACTTTAAATAATAAGTATATTAAAACTCTCATGCTTTAAGAATTAATTTTAAAAGTTTCAGCTTTATCAAATAATTTATCAAATAATGTTGATATGATAGTACATCTGTCTTAGTGCCCACATGCACACATTTCTGCTGAGTTTATACTTAGAAGTGGAATTGTACAGTCCTAAGTTATATGTATACTCACTGTTAGTAGGTAATGTGATGATGTCAGTTTTTTAAATTGAGCCATTCTAGGATATGTGTATAGTAGCTCATAGTTTTAATTTGTATTCTATGACAAATGTTCGTCAATCATTTGGATACTTTCTTTCATAAATTGACTAGTCTAGTTGTGCCCCTTCTTGTAAATGTTTTGTCCTTTGCTTGAATATGTGTCCTTCATACATTATTTTCAGATATATTCTCCATGCTGTGGCCTGCATTTTTACTTATGGATTGATTTGATTTTTTGTTATTATTTTATTTGGTTTTGGTTTTTTGTGAAGTGAAAACTATTTATTTTAATGCGGTTGAATTTGTCAGTCTTTTCCTGTATGGTTAATACTTTTTGCCTATGTTTAACAAAAGACATGCTCAAAAATCTTCATGGAGCTTTACTTGTATCAGCCAAAAACTGGAACAGCCCAAAACTCCATCACTGAAGAATGGATAATTATATTGTGACATGTTCATACAAAGGGATATTATTCAGCAGTGAAAATGAAGGCATTACTGCTACGTATGGCAATATGTCTGAACTCAGGAAATACAACTTTGAAAAACTCAAGACTTTTTAAGTACATTCATACAATTCTATTTATACAATCTAGAAGAAAAATTTTAGTCCAATTAAATAATGAAACCCAAATATATAGACATTTTGTGCTAATTAATTATATCAAAGTAATCATAGTATAGTAATACGCTAAAAGTTCAACTTTATTTTATACAAAGCTTAGATAGGGACTATTTATTCCTGTTAAAATTCTTTGGTGGGAAGTGATTTCTGAGATCTTTGAAGTGTGGACGTACTTAAAAAAATTTTTTTCACAAACTTCTTAAATTTTATTTATTTTAAAGGTATAATCAGTAAAATCATGCTCACTTTGGCAGCACATATACTAAAATTGGAACGATACAGAGAAGATTATCAAGGCCCCTCACAAGGATGACACACAAATTAGTGAAGCATTCCACTTTTTTTTTTTTTTGAAAAACATATGAAAGTCGATTAAAAGCTTTTGGAATAAAAAAAAAAAGATATAATCAGTAAATTTAAAGTAAAACAATTTACAAGATTTTGAAAATAGGACAGAAAAATTAAAACACCATAATGCCATCATAACAGTAATATTTTCATCTTTCCAGTCCAGTCTTTTTCTTTTATGCGTATTTTATGCCAAGATATATTAAATAAATAACCAATACTATATCCTGTTGTATATTGCTATTATTCTTAATTAGATTATTATATTTTATTAGATTATGATAGGTAGACCATGTAATTTCAGTGCAGATCCACTTGTTCTATTTATCTCTTCTTATTTCCTTCTTTTTTAAAGTTGAGAATGGTTTTTACTACTTTATTTTTTTAAGCTTTTTTTATTATTTTATGTGTGTGTGTGTGTGTGTGTGTTGTTCTCGTTGTGTGTGTGTGTGTATTGCCTGCATGTAGGTAAGTGCACCCATGTCATGCAATGCCTACATTGGTCAGAAGAGGCTGTTGGATCCCCTGGGACTGGAGTTATGGACAGTTGTTAACTGCCGTGTGGGTGCTGGGATTCGAACCTGGGTCTTCTGCAATAACAACCAGTGTTCTTAACCACTGAGCCATCTCTCCAGCCCCATCTCTTCTTATTTCAAAAGAGTCTCTTTCTCTTTTGATTTATACAACTTGAACAATTTCTTTCCTACATTTTTTTCAGATGAAAACATAAAATATATCTCCTCTAACTTTGATTTCTCTTCTTAGTTTACAGCTGACCTTGACCAGTTTGATCAGTTGCTGCCCACACTGGAGAAGGCAGCACAGTTGCCAAGCTTATGTGAGACAGACAGGATGGATGGTGCTGTCACCAATGTAAACATCAAATCAGAGATCCTGCCAGCTTCACTCCAGTCCACCACTGCCAGACCCACTTCCCGACTGAACAGTATGTGGATTGGCACTTTGTTTCTCTCCATTACTGTAGATGCCTTTTGTTTATTAAGATTGAAGCATCTTTCCATTTTGTCACTATAAACAATAGGCAATTATATTTAGATTTAAGAACTTAAATAATCATTCCTTTTTTTGAGACTGAGTCTGATGAATCTCAGGTTGGCCTCAAATTCACTTTGTAGCTGAGGGCAACTTTGAACTCCTGGTCCTCCTGCCTTCACCTCTCAAGTATTAGTTATAGGCATGCATCTTGTGTATTTTATATTGTAGATACTTTCTACCTTTTTGTAATTGATGTTACAATGAGCAATTGATGATAAAGAGATAAATTTTGTGTTCTTACCTGAAGAACCCCATAACAACACCTAGAAATACAATATTGAATCAAAATTATGTTCTCAAATATCTTTCTTGAACATTAGTCTGAGAAGTTGCAAAAAGAAAAGATTCTCTGCTAAAGTACCCTAAATAAATGCAGCATGTCCTAGGTATTCCCTTACTAGAGTTTTAGGTGCCTGTTAACAGTTTTTGAGAGATCTTAACAAAATGAATTCATATTTCTTTAACCCAGCATTTCTCAGACTTTCCAGATTATAGAATTCCTTTTCTCAAATAATATATATTACCTCTCACAGAGTAAGTTATGCATGGAGTATTATTTAGGAGACCACCTTACCTTGTCAAAATATGTCACTGTTATTCCAACCCAGGTTAATATTCTCTTAACTAAGACATACTTTAATAATATAATACTAGAAATTCATGAAATAGGACTGTCAGTCTTTTTTTACACATCAAATTTCAAAATTGGGAAATCAGTGATGCTGATTCCTCTGCATGACCTTGAAGGTAAAGGAAAGCAATCAGTCAACTTTCTGAATGAATATGGGTTCCTGGCCTTAGTCCTGTCCATCTTCTAATGGGATCCAGTTTGAGTCTTCGCTTATTTCAGTCTTACTGGAGCTTTACATGTCATGACCCAATTCCTAAAAATTTACCAAGATTTTGAGGCAGCTGCAAAGAAGACTCGGGTCATCACTGACGTTTTTGGGAGCACTATTTTAGCTGGCTAGGACACTAGAGGAGGAGTCAGAAGCCTGGATTCAAGCTGCACATTCTCCATTTATTAACAAAGAAATTAATTTTCTAAGTTTATTCTCTTTTTATATTCAAGGTAAAATTTAATGAAATGATCAAGCTGGGCACTGTAACTCATGCCTTTAATTCCAGCACTTGGCAGTGGTAGAGATCGGGAGTACAAGGTCATCCTCAACTGCACAGTGAGGTTAAGACTAGCCTGGGCTACATGAGACACTGACTAAAAGGAAAAAAAAGAAAAAAGAAAGAAAAGAAGCCAAGCATGGTGGCACACACCCTTAACCCCAGCACTCGGGAGGCAGAGACAAGCCCAGCCAGATGTATATAGCAAGTTCCAGGCCAGCTGGGACTGCAGGGAGACCCTGTCTCAAAAAGCTGTGGGGAGTGGGGGGAGAATGATCAACAGTTTCTTCTAATTGAAATGGAAAACCTTCAAACTCTGGCACAACTGGGGATACAGTAATATACAAGGCTGAAAAGAGAAAATAAAAGTCTGTAGATAGATAGATAGATGATAGATAGATAGATAGATAGATAGATAGATAGATAGATAGATAGATAGATTAAATAGATGATACGGAGAATTTTATGGAATTAACTGAAGGATATTCTCCAGATTTAAAGACTTCACCAACTACCCAACCCAAGTAAGTTCTTGTGCCAAAGCTTATCGTAATATAATTCCAGGAACATTAGAAATATTCTAAATACTTGCAGAGATAAGAATTGCATATAGTGTATTTAATTTTCCCAAAGTAATGTTAGAACCAAAAGACGAATGAGCAATGTCTTATGATTTGAAAAGGAAGACTTCTACTTTGAAACGACCACAGCAATAATTAACACTAGATTTCTCCTATAAACCGTGGTAGAAAATGAACAGATACATAAGACAGTTCTTTTCAGACAATAGGTAGTATGGGAAAACCAACAAAGCAAGCTCTACAATCAACCCAACCTTTTTCTTTTGGTCTGACTTGGTAAGAATTGGTTTGGTTTTGTTATTGTTCTTATTGTTTTGGAGTGGGGTACTGGTTGCTCTACAGCCTTGGCTGGCCTGAAACTCGCTATATAAATCAGACTAGCTTCAAACTTGTGGGAATCCTCCTACCTCTGCCTGCCTCCAAGCCCAGGCAACTCAGCTTTTTTTCCTTAGAGACATTTTCCAAACCAAATGTAGATGTGAGGAATGCAGAATGAGCATAGATAAGTCAGTAGGTTGAAAACACAGTAATCAGGGCTCTATGAAACTGGGGCAGCTAGAGCTTGTTGGACAGAGAAGAGAAGGATGTGTAGGGTCTTTTTTAATCTTTTTCCAAATAATTCATATGCATATGTTAGATGGTAAGCAATCCAGTGAGACCAAGAACAGCTTCTATAAAAGAGCAATTATCAGGAGCTTTGAGATGAACAGCTATGAGCATTGACACAGCATTGGGCAAGAATCAAGTTTTGATCGTAGACTTTCATGAGCATCTGAGACACTTAGTAGAAAAAATATAAAGGCCTTACCTGTAACTTTAGGCCTGCTCTACCAAATCTTTTTTAAAAAGATTTTAAAAAAACACTCAAAAAGATCAACCTGATCTTTAAGTAAGACAACTATCTGGCAGAATAATATTCAATAATCTTTAAAGAAAACATCTAAATGTAGATACCTAACAATGTAATTTTCATGATATCCAGTATGAAATGGGCATATAAAGTAGCAAGAAACTGTAATCCAAAACCAGGAGAAAAACCAGTTAATAGAAAATGATCCAAAAATGACAAAGATACTAGAATTAAGAGAAAACTTCAAATATGTGTGTGTGTTTTAAAATTTAAAGGAAAGTTTGAACATAATGAGGAAAGTGATATATGCTACAGAAAAAAGCCAAATAAAACTGGTAGAACTAAAAAATATGTCTGAAATGAAAAATACTGATTGGCTTCATAGCAGCTAGATTAAACACTTCAGGAAAAGCAAAGAGCACTGACTTTTACATTTATTTTTATTATTTCTGTTGAGAGAGAGAGAGAGAAAGAGAGAGAGAGAACGAATGCCACATGTGTTGCTGGTACATACAGAGGCCAAAAGAGAGCTTGAGTTACAGGTAGTTGTGAGCCACCGTATGTGGGTGCTGGAAACTGAAATCAGGTTCTCTGAAAGAGCAGACAATGCTCTTAACCACTGAGCCATCCCTCTAGCCCAAGCAATGATTTTGAAAACATAGTTATAGAAACCATTCAAAGAATATATATATATACACACACATATATTTCCTCAAGCCACTGTGGTACAAACATCAGACAGTTCAAAATGCATACAGTGTACAAAATCATAGAATGAGGGGGAGTAGAAAAAAATTACAACAAAATCATAGTCAAATGTTAGAAATGTGATAAGAAGGAGGTGGAGAGATGGCTCAGCAGTTAAGAGCACTAACTCTTCTTGCAGAAGACCTGGGTTTGAATCCCAGCATCCACATGGCAGCTAACAACTATCCATAACTCCAATTCCAGGGGATCCGACAGTCTCTTCTTCTGTCCTCCACAGGCATTGTACAACACAGTTGCGCTTACCTACATGCAGGCAATACACGCACACACATAAAATAAAAATAATAAATGAAAAAAGAAAAAAAGAAATGTGATAAGAAATAAGAAATATAAGCCTACAAATCCAATAAATTTAATGAACCCTATGGAAAATAAACAAAGCTGTTCTAAAGAATACCATGGGCCAGGCATGGCAGTAGATGCCTTTAACCTTAACACTTAGAGAGAGACAAGCAGCTCTCTTAACAGTTTGAGGCTAGCCTGGTCTACATAATCAGTTTTAGGAAAGCCAAGGCTTAAAAAATGAGACCGTGTCAAAAATCAAATCAAGTAAGTAAATAAATAAGATTTTTAAAAAATAAAGTAGGACAGTACTAAAAATATAGGAAAGGGGAAAAAAAGATGATTAAGATTTGGAGAAGTGGCACTGGAGAGATGGCTCAGTGGTTAAGAGCACTGGCTATTCTTGAAGAGGACCCAGGTTCAATTCCCAGCACCCACATGGCAACTAACAACTGTCTGTAACTCCAGTTCCAGGGATCTGATGCTCTCTTCTGACCTCTGCAGGCTTTGCATGATATGGGTGCACTCACATGCAGGCAATACACCCATACACATAAAATTAATAAATAAAATATTTTTTAACAAGAATTGGAGAAGTCAGGGCTAGAGATAGGGCTTAGCAGTTAAGAACACTGGCCACTCTTGAAGAGGACCTAGGTTCAGTTTCCAGCACCCACATAGTGACTCATAACCATTTGTAACTCTGGTTCCAGAGGATCCAGTACCCTCTTCTGGTCTCCATGGGTGCCAGTCACACATGTAGTGCTCATATATGCATGCAGGCAAAGCACTCATACACATAAAATTGAAATAAATCTTTTTTAAAAATAGAGAAGCTTCTTTCTGGGTCCTCTGATACCGTGGTCATCCAGGTCTGGGTAGTAGTGGGAGATGGCTGGGTTCTGTTACCACTGTAGAGGTTGATGTTGATATGGGCTGAGGGACACACCTACCGAGGGTATCTTGTCAGCTTCAGGGCTGTGTTCACTTTATAGTTTCCCTTGTTTGCAAACTGGGAGCCACTACTGGCCCCACATAGCTTTATGATCTGGGGAGATTCTCTCTGAATGCCAATGCCCAAGCCAAGGGAGTCTCTCCTAAGTGTGTCAGAATGGGGAAAGCAAAGTACTGAGTTCCACACTGGAGTAGGACCCCAGTGACCTAGGCACTCTTCCCACCAGTCTCAGTGCTTTCACACCTCACTCAACAGTAGAGCACCCTGCTGAAAGGAGAAAGCTGCAGAAATCCAGAGTCTATGTGACAGTAATTTAACTACTTTATGGTTCATCC